TATTCAATTAATTGGAATAATTCAATTTATTGGATACGTTGATCGTTTAAAATATAAGATTTATCGTGTATTTATATTTTCATCGCGTCTATTTCATAGAGAGTCTTACACAGATTTCATCATGAAATTCTCTATCGACATAAAACTTATGAAGGAGTCGATCTGTCATCATTAGACAGGTGAAGGCACACGCAGCTATGTTCTATACTTCACGTCGAAAATAATAATTAGCTTCCACGCGCAGCGTAACACTCAATGCGTGAGATACTTTTACGCGTCCCCTTCCTTTTCATCTTTCTCTCGCAGTACCTACACCTATCTACCCTTCCTCCTCGCTCTTTCTCTCTCTTTCTCAGTTACTGGCAAACATGCATTTTTTTTTTTCTTTTGGACCAACGACGCCTATGCCGCGCTACGAATCGCGAGATTCGCGAGGGAAACGTGCGCGACGTTGTTATGGATATTTATATATATGTGTGTGTGTGTGTGTATCGGTGTACGCGCTTCTTCCCAAGCGTGCGACGCGAGTGTGCGCGCGCGCACGCGCACACGGCGTCGCGGCTGCTGGTGTGTGGGAGAGCGCGCGCGTGCGTGTGTACGCGGAGGTGCGCGCGTGAGCGTTTCACACCTGACTATGTACTACTCGCGTCATGCGAGCGACCGTATTCGCGTCATGAGATGATCGCGAAAAGTTGCGCGCGGAGGAGCGCAGGCGACGCCGAAAATCTCGTCGACGAACGCGCGGATTTATCGCGCGGCGCTCACGGCGCTCGGGCGCGCAGAATCGATTTATTTTGTCGGTACGGTCTGCGCGGCGAACACGGTAGGTTAGTTGACCGCGGGGCCGAGCGAGCGCTGAGCTGACAGTAGGCCGGCGACGTCACAGTGGGCCGGTTCGAGCCTTCCTTCATTCGATTCAGGCAGGCTCCTCTATTCGTTTTACATGTAGCAAGGTAAATATTCAGACGCGGTGTTTTACGTTTTTGAACGAAGGAACGTGGGCCCAGTGCGCGGATAATTATTATCATCGTTGTTATTGCCGCGTCGCGTCGGTGCCGTCGTCTTGGTTGTCATCGTCGTCGTCGTCGTCGTCGTCGCGGGGGCGGACAATCGTCCCCGAACGATTTTTGTGACGCGTGCGATCTCATCGTGACGAATATGTTTGATTTTGTCGCTTGATTAAGAGGGAAAGAAAAATGTATTTATTTACATCGGAGAGAGGGTGCGAGCACACAACAATTTTCTCCTTTCGTCGTACGTCTACGTTACTTGACGTGTTGTTAGTTAACCATCGCTATCATTGCCATCGCTGCCACTGACATTCCGTTGCCGCCAATCGCTGTCACCGCTGCCTGTTATTTATCTAATGAGTTTGTGGTCAGGTAGATGGACAAGATAGAAAAGCGAGACGAACAGAGAGAAAAAGAAACACGAAAAGGATTGAAAGAGAAAGAGAGAGAGAGAGAGAGAGAGTGAGATAGAGAACGATAGCGAGCGAAGGGATCACGGAGAGAACGAGAAAAACCGTGACCTCGCGTCACGCGAAAACCGCATCGCGAGAGACACGCGCCAAGTTTCGCGTTAAGCGAAACTCTCGGAGTTTCTCGGATGATGATGATGTTTCAATTCGCGCGATTCGCGCTCGATGTCGATCCGTCAATCGGTGCATCGTCCGCGCTCGCTGTTCGATGTAGCTGTCACGAAGTGTCGAGTAACTTGACGGAGATTTTCCCGTATCTCCCTCGCGTCTCTTCGGAGCACGTTGTTCCGATCGGGAGAACGATGGGGGAGACACGTGAAAACGTGCGCTCTGACAGCTCGCGTTTGACGGCGGCGCGTGCACGTCACGATCAAGAGCGGCTCTCGCGTTTTTCGGCAACCGCGAAATTTATAAACTCCGACACTCGTGCGACCTTGCACGGCCCCCGAAAAATATTGGCAGCCAGCCGCTTTCGAATCTCGCGGCCGAACCCGTGCGTTCGTTACGACGTGACGTGGATCCGCGCGTTCGAAATAGTTTCCTCCTCGGAAAAGCCTGGCTAGAAACAGAGAGAAAGAGAGAGAGAGAGAGAGAGAGAGAGAGAAAAAGAAAAGACGATCTCGAAACGTACGCTCTTGGCACCGTGGCCATCGCGCGTGCCGCGACGCGACGCGACTCGACGCGCCGCGACGTGCCGCGACACACGTGACAGTGAACAGTGCAACGCGTACCGCGCGAGCGACGCACCTGGGGGCCGTCGCGCGAGGAGACGTTGAGGAGGCCAACATCTCGCGCGCGGCTTCCGCCGTCGCGACGCATCTTCAATCGCCGATGTTCGTTTTCAAGCGGAGACGAAGTCTCTCTCTCTCTCTCTCTCTTTCTCTCTTCCTCGAACCAGAGAGAGAAAAGGTGAATACAGAGCATATTTATTGGCGCGCTCGATTGACCCGACCGTGATATTTCGAATCGCGGATCTGCGACGGAAAGAAAAGAGGAAACAATGACATAAAAAAAAAAAAAAAGAAAAAAAAACGGTAGAATGTCACGCGCGCGTGAATATACGGGCGCGTGTTGTCAAGAAAGAGGCATGATTGCGAGAGTGCGTGTCCCGTGAGCCGCGAACACGGGCGGACGAAAATACCTCACGTGCGTCGAGAAATTGATGAAAAAGAGGGAGGGAAACGTGTGTAGGGGGAGGTAAGCGGCAGATCGTTTTCGAGGACGATGAGAGAGTCGAGGAGGCGAGGAGCGTCGTCGGCGCTCGTTTATGAAGCAAAAGTAAAGTATGACGGTCCCGAGGAAATCTGGAGCGATCGAACGGCCCGCTCCGACGAGAGCGGCGCCGAGGAGGCTTTAGTTATCCGTGCATCGAGATATTCTCTCGCGGATTTCACCTTAGCTGCAGCAGAAACGGCAGGCCGTAGTGACGTAGTTTTCGAGGTGGGCTCATTCCAAATTCGTGCCAATTTGATCGAAAACAATTAATCGGATGATGTTATGCGAAAATGAGTTAAGTCAATATTTCTTTTCTTTTTTTTCCTGTTTTAATTATCATTGTTTTCCATATTTATTAAAATATTCAGTTGAAAAATGTCTCTTGGTTGACAATATATTACGAAAGAAAGTGACAGTATTGTCACGAATCAAGGGATAACTGACAAGATTTAGGAAAATGAATTATACACATATAACTTGCTCTCGAAATCACGAAACTCTGTATTTTAAAGTTAATTTATTAAAACCTATAATATGTGTGAATAGATTAATTTGTTTTCGCTTAACACATATTTAAAGTAAGAGTGAGAGTTTTGAACGGATGTCGGTACGAAAAAAATATTTTTACAAGCGTTCTTGACATTTTTTATAAATCCGTCTCACTTGACAATGTGCAAACTTTTTATTTGTTATTCGAGTTTCTTGACTGACAATGATCTAATAATAGATCCTAAGCGCAGCGCGCTCGCTTCTGTGCGTGGAATTTTCTTCCGTGCCAACATCCACCTTTGCCCTTGACGGTTCTCTCACTCTGCCCTATCGCTTTAATTAGTCGAATTCGCCGTAAAGGGGCTTTAACAACCATTGTTAAATCCGATCGTACACGTTAAAGTAAAGTGCAAGTGATAACGGTGGCACGCGCTCTGTGATCAAATCTCGATTGCCGCAACGTATTTCACAGTTCGAACCTTTCGCCTAGAATCAGTTTCTATTTTCAACTACGTAATTCGATTAGCGCTGACATTTCGTACGGATTCGTTAAAATGATTCTTTACGTCAGAATACACATTATTCATTACAATCTTATTTATAGTCTTAGAAATATATAGCGAATTACGTGCGTGCTTATAGTGAAAACAGAATGCAAGTTTCACCTGTAAATTGTAGCGCGAAAAATTTCTCGCCGAAAGTAAATATTTGATGATTATCGCGTGGATCTTTTTTATAATTAATGAGATTTTGCTATAATCAATATAATCTAAAAGAAATTGAAAGAAAAAGAATTATTAGTTATTTATTGTCGAAAATGAAGCTATTTCATTCTCTTATATAATTAAAAGTTCGATTGGAACAATTTTGAATATCTAGGATATACTGTTATTTTTCTGGAAAATTTTTATTCCATTTCCTATCAAATTATCAAAATCTATTATCTTTCCCGGACATTTTTTCGCGCGTTAAACCCGAGATAGGTAATAATCCGTTTTGGTGATGCAACACCACAATCATTTTCAATTTTTCTCTTATTTTTACATTTCATTACGCCGCGATCCTCACGCGTGTAACAAAAATAGCATTTCCGCGATCGACTCTTGCCTTGACAGAGACAGACCGCGTGACGTATCGCCCGCGGCGAGAGGACGAGAATACTGAAGACGACGCTCCGTCCTCGTTTCTCGCGCCGCGCAGTCTGTCTTCGTCTGAGAACTGTATCCGATATTCGGAGCGCGCGTGTTGTACGTACGTCAGAGAGACGTCGGATTTTACAGGAACTTCAATAAGAAGCCGTTGCAATACCGTACTTCGGAATACGGTAAACGCTAAAGTCTTACGCTGATTGCAAATACAAGTTATTGTGATTATTTTCATCTTATTGTTAAACTCACATTACTATTCGCTAAAATATAACGTAACGTTAAATTTACATATTTCATTTACCATAAACGCAGTCATACACAACAGAGATAAGAGAATATCTAAACCGCAATTAAATAATCATCAAAATTGATTTTCAATTATCGACATTTTACAAGAGGGAACAAAATATAAAGATGTAATAATTAATTCTTAATAATAATGCAGAGATCAATTCTAAATAAATGAATTCTATAAGAAAATAATATTAAAATGCTTATCGCGGGCACGACTCTTTCGGCAATACGGTCCTGCGCTCCAAGTAGCATAGACATTTGACGTTTCGCGAAGGTCGCGTGTTCCAGCTCTCTCTCTCTCTCTCTCTCTCTCTCCTTCTCTCTCTCTCTCTCTCTCTCTCTCTCTCTCTCTCTCTCTCTCTCTCTTCTCTCTCTCTCTCTCTCTCTCTCTCTCTCTCTCTCTCTCTCTCGCACACGATATACACACGTATACGTATACAATCTGTCCGCGTCTCGCCCTCGTCTTTTTCTATTTCATTCTCCGTCTGCTTTCCGCGCAACGCGTATACGCACACACCGCACGTATGTACGTTCCAACATTTAACGATCGTTACGCGTTCAATTGTTCACCGTCGCCGAGAAGAGACCACGCGCGACTTTCCGAACGAGAGCCGGGAGCCGCCTGTTTCGCGATGATATTTTCCGCGGCGCGTTATCGGTGAACATGACATTGAGGATCGCCCGAGAGAGAGAGAATTGCAACGTAACGCATCGCAACGTTAGCCGCCGCTATCGTAGATACCGCGACATCGCGATGCGCCACGCCACGCCGCACCGCGCCGCGGCGTCGATCAGCTGGCGTCGCTCTGTCTCTGTCTCTCTCTCTCTCTCTCTCTTTTCCGCTTTGCACGACGCCGACGACGGGCACGCTTGTCTGTGCTCAGCGTCGTATGCGTAAAACCCATTGCTAATAGGATGTGCAGACACGCGTTAGACGCTTATTTGTCGCGTGGATTGTGTATAGGATGTGTCTTGGAAATTCGTCGAGAGATCTGCATCTAAGAGGCAAACTAATGTAAGTTGAAAAACTCACATTTTTGGAATAAATCTGGGAAACGCATGGAGAGAAACGCGCACCTTCGGAATAAATTAATGAGTATGTGTATAGGTAAAAGCAGCCAGATTGAAATTTACGTGTGCGTAAAGTAATAGTTATTTAATGTTTGTTTAAAGAGTTTTTATCTGAAAAATATGAATTGTTTAGTTAAGTTATATATTCCGTATTCTTATCGCAAAAATTTTTTCACTTTATCATGCATCTGACAGACTTATTATTTTTCTCACTATACAACAAATAAATATACGTAACCGAAGAAAAACATATCAAAACCAATAGAATTGAATTTACTTCATACTGCTTCTCAGATACAGAAATACTTCAAAAATAGATTCTTCGAGAAATTTAAAAAAAAAAAAATTAAAAAATTTTTTTTATGATGTTAGGAATGTTGTTTTGTTAAAGTATTTTACAAGATGCTATTATTTTTCTATTTCTCGCTTTCTCAAGGAAGTGACAATGATCAAAAAGATAATTGTTATGATCGATTTTTAATTAAATTTATTCATTTTCATCGTTCTCTTTTTTTGTATATATTATTTGTTTAATGTATATATATTATTGTAATCATTCTTATATATTTGTTCTCGGAATGTATTATATAAACTTCTAATATCATATTCTTAGCAATATAATATAATCTTATTGTTAGTTTACACATATCATATTTCTAGAAAAAAAGAAGATTATAACAATTAGTATACGTGGTTAAAATGATGTTATTTCAAGGTATAATTATTTCCATCTCTCTCTTTTCCTCTTTCTTCTCCGTTTCCGTCGCGAATCAAATGAAATTAAAAAAATCGCCCGGTTCACGCATCAAGGCAGCGTAAAACAGTCTCATCTGACTGTGGCGAAAGAGAGAGAGACCGTGGTATTTTGTACATTTTCTGCACTGATTAACGCATTCTCGCGGTACGAGGTCGTTAACATTGATAAATCAAAAGAAAACGATGCGTCCGAGATTCTTTTGCTCTGTCGAAGCATCGATCGAACCATTTTTACTACATCGCGGTAAAATAGATGGGCGAAGATATACGAAGCATTATACAAAATGATTTTATTGAGGAAAGAATTATTTTAGGGAACAGTGATGTGTTTCATGAATATTTAAATTAAAAATAATTTAAGCAATTGTTCGCGATATTGCGGAAAACAAAAAAAAAAATTAAAAATAAAAATGAAAAATGAATTTAAATAAATATTTTAATAAATATCAATAATTATTTCAAGATAGTTGACGAATCTTGTACGGTTTTTTTTTATTTTTGGCCTTAAATTTTTTTATATGTTTCACACAAAAATCATCGATTTTTATTGATTTAATATTGAATTTTTAGTTGTCGCAAGTATACCGCTAAGTTATGACGCAACGTCTTGAAAGAAAGTATAGATTAGTATCGATACGAGTAAATATGGTATCGATATCGTATTAAGCTTATACATTGCTAGGCAGCGCTTGTAATCTAATTTTTGCGATAGAAGAATTACATGCGTATCTCCACGCATTGCCGTATATCGGCGCGGATTATCGATTTATAATCATAATCGCGGCAGATAAGAGCTACCGTGAGAGAACTTACCTGTTTGAGATGTTACGTTGTCGAGCGATAGACGTTTGTTCGTAAACGTTTTTGCGAATCGAAGAGAAGTCAATGGTCAATGCGTCCCGATGATTATATCGACGGATTAATTCAGCTTTTTTAAGCAAGAATAAGCTATTAGATTCATAACTTGTAAAATTCTCGTTTTAAATCTTTTATCTTTAATCTTTATATTTAATTGTTATTTTCACACGTGCTATTCGTATTTAATTATTTTTGAGATAGACGCAGTTTTCAAAAACATTATTAATAGCATGAAAAAAAAATATTTGAAATTCGTTTTTATTCTTTCCTCAGAAATACATATTCGGTTATCCTTTAGACATTTCTCTTTTCGCAAAGAGAGAATTTTGGATTTTATAAATATCAGAAACCACACACTTGCGAATTTTTTTCTTCGAATCTTTCATTGATTTATATGTACATACGAGAAATTAGAAACGGCGAGTGGTAATCTCGTACCACTCCGGATATCAAAAGCTCTTTGTGCGCCTATACATTTTCGACAAAAAACAAAAAAAATTGCGTAACAGCTATCTATTTCATTGTCATAGCGGGTCGGACGACTTAAATCGATTTCCACTGGTTCACGATCTTTTGATTGGCGGGATTCTACAGAGTGATTTTCGATGGGCACCGCCGATGGGCGGTTTTGCCAACAATCCCGGCGTATATCCATACATCCATACATACCCGTGTATATCCTATATATATATGTATATATACATATCGTGATCATTTTTAAAACGTGACGGAGACAGACGGGCGAGGCGCTCGGGCAAAGAGATAGAGACGTAATGATTGCAATATTCCGCCAGTAATTGCTCCAGTCGGCCGCACTGTTGAAACATCATTCGCGCGCGCAAGTCGTAGATTTGTTTTTCCCTCCCCCCATTTCCCTCCCTCCCTCACCCCCTCCCCGCGCGTGTCGCGCCGTCATGCCATCGGCCGAAATGTCATTCTCTCGCGGGGGATTCGTTTTCTCTTTCCCCGACCGCCCCCGATCTCTATCCGATGGCGCGATCGTCCCTATCCCTACTATAACTACCGCTATTCTCGGTGCCATTCATCGCGGTTCGAAATCGATACGTGCCATTAAATGCTGGCGATGCATTTAAAACGGCCGATCGAGTCGGGGCGGGGGACACGCGCTTGATTAGATCCCGGGATCCTCGTTAACGCCACGTTATAATCCGCGAATCAACTTTTCGACTTGTCGCGAAAATGTGTAAGGAGCAAAAGTGACGTATAAGTCAAGTATGCTGACATGAAACATATAAGATAATTATAGCTCCCGGTACATCGGCGTCACTTAAAAACTTTATCTAACCGTAGTTTAATTAATTCTTTATCGTGACCGGTGCTGTATTAAAAATACAAGGTATCGATATTTTTGCGTGGCCTCGATACTTGGGCGAATCTAACGCGATGAAACTTTTACAACTCGCGTAAAAACGCGGACGATTTAAACATCCTCGCGTTCGTCGCGACGTTTTTCGATGCGTAAATATCTTTAAATATCGTTTGTCGATATTCTGCTATTTCGCGATCGTAATGACGTTGTCTCGATGCAACAAGACCCTACGCGCCGTCGTTCTTTTTACGTGAAGAGAGACCGATGAGAGAGAGAGAGAGAGAGCGAGCGAGGGAACGGCAGTGCTCACGAGCGTGTCACGCGCGTGAAAGGAAGCCTCCGGCAAAAAGCTCACCGCGGGGTATTAGTCATCGGTAACCGACCGGAGCTTTTTCGCCGCGCGTCGTGCCTTGCGATTCCTGCAGTCGTGACCGTCGCTGCGGCTGATTTATGGCGAGCCATCGTTATTTTCGCCTAGCCTAGCCCGACTAGGAGACTAATCTAGCCTCGCGCTTCTTCTGAACGTGCCTCTCCCTCGGTGCTCTTCTTTCATCTTCCAAGTTCTTTCTCTCGCTATTTTTCTCTCCCTCTTCTCCTTTGTATTTCTTCTCTCTCTCTCTCCCTCTCTCTCTTCTTTTATATATATCTTTGCGTGTCAGTTTCTTCTTCTCTCCCTCTCCCAAGACTGAATTGTCTACCTGCTCCTGCTCGATTCGCGTGGGTGGGAGAGAGGCCGATCGTTACTACCGGTTAACGACGGCTAGGTACTATTATCAGACACCTCTTATCCCCCGTCAGAACCTCGTAACCGAGTGAACTTGCGGGAAAAATACATACTCGACGGGACTGGAATGCCTTCTCGTCGCCGGAAGTTCTGCCGTTACGCGTCAATTTCGCCGAGTAATTAAGTCGAAAATCCAGATAATACCATTATCTTTGATCGATCGCACGTAACTGTCTACTTTGCTCCCTGTAATCCTAAACCCATTTGCTCTTTCGATAGATCGGAATTTACAAGTCTTTTTGTTTTACGGCTACTTACACAGATTTTTAGATACACGAATCTTTACACCATACGATTTTATATACATATATCTTTATTGATCTCTAAATATTTCTAGATTCTTAAATACGTGACTTTTTAGACTTACAATTTTTTAAATCTGCAGACTTTTAATATTTTGTATATGCTTATAGAAGAGCAAATGTTGAAACCTTCAATTATTTAGAGTTTTAGAGCGTTTCTCTTTTTAAAATCGATCGTGCATTCTTCAAAAATGTTACAAAAATTCTGTGTAAACAAAAGTATCGGTTCACTATCAACCGAGGCAGGTCGATCGCGGCATAATAGCAATATAATTCTCTCTTCATTATATTATATTGCCTATGTTGAGCCATTCGATTATTCCTCGCCATTAATTTAACAAAATTTGCGTTACACCGCGCAGAAACAAAGCGTAAATTATTACCACGATCAAAATTACCGCGCCGTCATTGCGGTCTGGTTCGTTACGAGCGAACGATTTGCTCATTCTAAAATTCATCATTTAATTATAATGCGTTACAACCGCTGTCATTCCAACGATAATCCCGGTTCGCCGAATCGGCTCCTGGATTTTGCGTCGATCGCGCCGATTCGCATCGATCCATGTCAACCGATTTGTAAATTTCGAGACATATACAGAGTATATTATTAGATAGATCCTTCCAGTCTCATAAATCCTATGTGACTTTAGTCGTTTTTTCCATGGAGAAATTTACATGTTGGGAGTTTTAATCTTTAGTGTTTGTAATATCTTGACAATTAAGCTTAACTTTTAATAAATTTTATTTTTCTTTCCATTTTAAGTAATATTTCGCCAACTATCCATGCTTTTCTATCAAAATCAGAATTTTTCTTAACATGGTTCTCTAGTAATTATATGTACTTGAAGAGAAAGAGAGAGAGGGAAAGGTAAAATATCCGATAGTTGCAAGATACACACACACACACCCCTCGT